TCTAGTCACTATTATCCCATGACTATTTGTCCATTCAAATATCGAAAAATACATTTCACCATACTCGAATGATAAACAATTGGTGCATGCATATGTTGACTAAAAAGATTTACAACAAAAGAGATATCTAGCCGCATGATAATTAATAAATAAGCTTTCTCATAAATCGTTAATAATAACTAGGTGAATCAAGAGCTCTCCTCATTGAATCAAGTTTTATTTTATTATCTAGAGGAGTAGCTGCAGGTTTAATATGTATTATACCTACATCTTGAAGCAAATTTTTAATATATTCTCTAACTAAGGAGGAACCTTTTGCTATAAGTGATCATTTCAATGCCAAAAGAGTACTTTAAGGAACCAAGGTCCCTAATAGAAAATTGATGCTGGAGATTCTTATTCAACCGAACAATGTCAGAATTAACTAATTTTTTTTATAAAAATCATAAATTGTCAGTTACGAGTAAAAATTGATGTTGGAAGATACATATGGGTGGAATGAGCAAGCCACACACATGCAGCCACAATGCGCATGGAAAGCATCGCATACCTACGACAGCGCGCACATAGGAATCGTGTGCCTATAGTGCGCTTGTGCAGATAAGGAGATGAGATGACATTTGGAATTTGAGAAAGCTCGAAGGAACAATGAAGCTTAAAGGAAGAAAATGACAATAATTGGGGGACGAAAATAAAATTTTGATTGTTTTCTTAATTTAACGTGACAAACACTTCATGTGCCACATTATTGCTTATATGTCATAATTTTAACATATAAGCAGTCATATGTCCGAGACTTAACGACGTATAACCTATAGTTAAGGTTGATGGTGGATTCAGTAAAAATTTTAAAAAATGAGTAAAATAGATCCAAAAAATACAGGGGTTTAAATGGAAAAAATCAAACTATCACATGTTTAGAACTTAAAAACCAATAAATGATAGTATTGGAGCGATTCTAGCCATGATCATGATCATGATCACGATATTCTCATTGACTTTTGTATCGTGATATTTTTCTTAATTTTAGGTGTTAGCATAATTATTTTATTAATTGTAAATATTCTCTTGATATATTTATTCTCTCTATATATTCACAACTCAAGAGAATAAAATGACAATGAAAACTTTAGCCTCAAATTATTTACATTTTTACATGGTATCAGAGCTAAGTTGAGTTAAAAATATGTTACTATGGTTGGTGATAGGAAGAAAATAGTTGAAAAAGGGATTACCCGAGCCAACACAATTCAAATGTGAGGAGTTGATGGCAGGAGAAGTGTTGTGACTGATTCTGATAAAATATTAGTGGGTTGAGTGACAAACAGTGAGCCATATTGATTAGTATGTTAAACTCATACAAAGATGGTACTAATAAAAGGTTAATATGTAAGACAAATCTTTTGCCTTGATTATTGACCCTGGCTTCGCATCACA